TGGGCGGCAGAGAGAGGCAGCAGATTGAGCAGTGCAAGAATTTATTATAAATCAGGGTGCAACCCATCGTTTTTTTTTCTGCCTTCTTCCCTTCCTTTTATCCACAAAGAAGCTGCTGGCACATCTCAGGCATAGTTGGGACTACGCCAGTCCTTCCTTATGGAAGTTCTGGTCAGGAGGGAGACAGACCTGTCGGGGAAGCTAGCAGAGAACAGGGAAGGCTCTAACTGCTGTGGGTGAGGATGACAGAGAATCCAGGGAAGCAACATGCCCGGGTGACCTGGTGAGGGAAGTCAGGGAACATACTCTAGGCAAGCGGAGCCACTTGCAAAAAGGCCCAAAGGGGGAGAAGGAAGCTCCTTGCTCTTTGTGTTTTTGAGGAAATGGAAATGGAAAGCCAGAAGAACACCATGCACCAATAAGGTGGGTGGGGAAGGCAGGTCCCAGGTCCTCAGGGCTACAGAACTGTCAGGCTTTCACCCTTTCACCTAGGACAGCGCGAGAGCCATGTGGCAGAGGTGTTAAACCCAGAGACATGGGTTTGAAAAGATGGTCCTGAATCTGTGGGGAGGGAAGCTGGGAGCTGGTGGAAGGCGGAGATGGGGAGCCTGGTTCTGAGGCTCTTCTCCAGGAGGGAATTGAGAGGACCTCGGGCCAGGGTGGTGGTGATGGCGACAGAGGGCAGTAGGTGGCAAAACAGATAGGCCTTGGGCACTCCGGGAGAGAAGGAAGGGCCAAGGAGGGGCCAGCGTCTGTCCTGTGGAACCACAGGGATGACCCTGCCACCAAATGTGGGAGGAAATGCACAGAAAAGATGAGGTTTGAGGCAGGATTTGGGGTGAGGGGATGTAGGTCTTAAGTTCGTGATTTGGATAACTCGAGTTTGAGGTGCCACTGGAACAGCCACATGGAAATCCCAAGGAGACCATAGAGGATACAGTTCTGGTAGTCCGCGAGTGTTCAGGTTGGAGGCACATTGCGGGGGTTTCCAGGTGGCAGTGGCAATAGTGAGCCTGGAAGAGATTTTCCCCTGGAAGGGCATGAGTGTGAGAAGAGGATGGTGGAGGACCAAGCCCAGTGTGACTGCCAGAGGGAGAGGCTGAGTTGAGGAGAAAAACAAGGAGGAACATCTAAAGAAATGGAAGCAAAACCAGGAGCACTGATGCCATATAAGCTGAGGGAAAACGTGTTTTGCAGAGGGAATGGATGAAAATGGGCAGAGGCTGAGAGAAAACAAAAATTAACTCAGCAGTCTGGGGTCCTCCTGGTTCACACCACATTGTTGATGTGGATGTGGGGGTCAGACTGGCCAGAAGGGTGGAGCAAGGAGATGGAGCCGCTGTGTTTGACAAGTACGGCTGTTTATCTTGTTTGCACTTGGGTTTCTGTAGAACTCGCTGCTAGTCAGAAGCACCTGGGCAAAAAGACCCCGAACCACAGTTTTCTGCTTCTCCCTTTATGCAAATTAAACCAGGCCAGGTGCAGTGGCTCACGGCATAATCCTAGCACTCTGGGAGGCTGAGGAGGGTGGATTGCTTGAGCTCCTAAGTTCAAGACCAGCAGAAGTAAAAGTGAGACCCCCATCTCTACTAGAAATAGAAAAACTGAGGCAAGAGGATTGCTTAAGCCCAAGAATTGGAGGTCGATGTGAGCTATAACACCACAGCACTCTCTCAAAAACAAACAAACAAAAGACCACATACCACTGTGACTACCCTGGTCTCAGGGCTGTTCTTCAGATATCCTGGGACTGGGGCCTGGTGCGGTGGGTCACCTCCCTAATCCTAGCACTCTGGGAGGCTGGGGCAGGTGGACTGCCTGAGCTTACAGCCTGAGCAAGAGTGAGACTCGCCCCAAAGAAAAAAAAAGCTGGGCATTGTGGCAGGCTAGTCAGTCCAGCTACTCAGGAGGCTGAGACGAGAGAATCGCTTGAGCCTAAAAGTTTGAGGTTGCTGTGAGCTGTGATGCCAAGGCACTCTACCCAGGGTGACAAGTGAGACTCTGTCTCAAAACAAAACAAAACAAAACAGATATCCTGGGATGGCTCTGGCTGAGAAGACGTCACATTGGCTCTTCACTCCACTTAGAATGCTTTTTCTCAGATATTTGAATGGCTCCCCTATTACAACCTGCAAGGGGGCCCCAGCTTTTTCCTGTGGCTCTTCCCAGTGTAAACCATGCTCATTTTTTCTTCTTGCTATTGCCAATCCTGAGGCTCAGTAAGGCCGTCTCCCAGGTGGTAATCAGGCAGTCAGCCTCCAGTGATTCCTGTCCCTGGTATATACACTCCTGCCTGGTTTCCTCCTACAATGAAGAGGTCCCACCTGTGTAACCAAGAGAATACTGCAGAAATGATGGTGTGTGACTTCCAAGTCTCGGTTATAAAAGACATTGTGGTTTCTACCTGCTTTCTTTAGGGGAAAGTTAGTGGTTTGTGAGGATGCTCAAGAAAACCATGTGGCTACAAACTGAGGCTTCCTGCCCATACCCAGCACACTGTCAAACATGTCAGTTATCTGCCTTGTGAAAATCCTCCAGTCCCAGTCAAGCCTTCAGGTGACAGAAGCCCTGGCTGACATTTGACTGCAACCTCCTGAGTGACCTTAAGCCAATACCATCTGGCTAAGGCTCTCCTGAATTCTTGACCACAGGGACTCTATAAAATAATAAATGTTAACTGTTTTTCGCTGTTAAATTTGAGGGTGATCTGTTATGCAGCAATGGAAACTAACACAGGCGGGAAGGAACAGAGTTCTGGTCTGGCCTTGATATAAACCATATTCTGCTAACCACAGAGAAAGCTTTTATTTTGACCCTCCAATTTAATTTATCCTGTTTATCCTTAATTTCTGAACCTGTAGGAAGAAGAGGAAGGGGGAGGGAGAGAGGTGGGGGCATGCAGGCAGGAATTACCAACAGAGACATTTTTGGAAAAAAGAAATACCAAAAAGTTAAGTTTGAAAAGGGTGTAAGCAAGGAATCATGTGTGAAACCCACATTTCTGACCCCACCCAAGAAACTGTCCGTAAAAATATAAATTGGTGTTTAAACCTTGAGTCAGGTTTATGTCCCCAGTTGCATGAAAATAGCATGAGGGGGTTGAAGGATGATTATGTCATTTTTCTGTAAGTCACACAACAATCAAGGGTTCTGGAACTAGATACAAACTCGAGTGTGTGAAGTTGAAAGCAACTGTGCCTGGTCACTTTCTCTGAGACACACAGCACCAGGAAAAGGACAACACCTCACTGGGTGACCAGTTTTCCAGGACAGGGCTCATAGGACCCTTCTCTGCAGCCCCCGTCTGGTTTCCCTAGACCTAGAAGGGAGCAGAATGGAACCAAATGCTTCAAGAACTCTTACAACCTTACTCTAAAGGCATCTTTAAGGGCACAGAAGGGAAGGTAAGAGGAGGAAAAACCCAAAGATAAACACCCAGAAGTCCTCAAACAATACTGGGGAGAGCAGCCCCCAGTGCAGACTGGCACTAACATGGGCTGGCCTGAGCCTGAGGCTTGGGTCCTGGAGGTTTGAGAATGATATTATCACCCAGTCCAGGAGAGTCTGGATCTTCTCCCATGTTTCTTGTCGCCACCCGCCAGCCACAATCACTGACCTTCCAACACCTTCTCCAGTTAAGAAGGAGAACTGTGTGAGATATTCCCCCCCAAACCGGATAGAGACAGCAGTAGTCCCAAATAATTTTAACCAGGGTAGTGAGCCAGGGGTGGCTCAACCATTTTGTCTGCGGACCATCCAAGAGAACTTTTTATTTCCTGTCTGAGGTGGGAAGGCAATCGCAGGGAGCAGGCTCGGAGGCCTCCAGGTCTGGCCCAGAAGGCCAGAGCGCTCCCTAATTCACCCCAATTAAAAGGGAATGGTGGTCCAGTCGAAACTCCAAACAAGGTACTTGATAATCAGTTAAATCTCACGACACTGAATCCAAATCCTTTCTCTGAGAAAGGAAAAACAAAGAAAATTCCTCGGTCACAAACAAGAGGGTGGGGCCTTCCAGATCCAGGCTTTTGCATGTGCTAAGCAAAACCAAGAATAAGGCAAGAAAATATGCTATTTGAGTTGTGTTCAAATGTCCTTTTACAAGTGAAACAAATTACTTCTGCATGTTCTGGGGCTCTGCAGAAAGCAAATAGTGTTCTGCGTTTAATGGGTAAAATTACACAATTTGCTTTTAACAGTAAACCAAAAGCACGGTGGCTGCAGATAGCATCGAACTCCTGGGGGCTCCCTTCACGCAGCCCCACTCCCTGCAGTTTCTGAGCATTTCGGAGGGACCATGTTGTCCCCACCGGCCTGGCAGGGCCCCAAGCGGTGACACAGCCTGTTCCCTTTGTTGAACGTTTCCTTTGCTGAGCCCTCACATCTCCTCTTCCCTCGCGCTGGTTTCTAGGACTGAGTAGCTCTCGGATTTGCCCGGAGGAGGCTGGCGAGCGCAGTGTAGTCCGGAGATCCTCATTTGTGACCCAGGCCACTCCCCTCCCGCCCCCCGCCGCCGCGCGGTGTCCTGTCCCCCCGAAAGTGGGTGGCAACTGCTCCATGAGGAACCCCAGTGAGGCCAGGCTAGACACCCCCAAGGTACCACCTTTGTATCCCAGGGTTCCGAGGCGCAGGCCACAGGACGGGCGCGCGAGGCAATTTCTGGGGACCCAGCGGCGCCCCTGGCTCTCCGCTTCCCAAGCGTCCCACCCGTCTTCTGCGCGTCTCCCCAGCAGGGGGCGCCGGCGCCGGCCTCGCTCTGCCCATCGGGGCGGGCGAGCTGCGGACCCTGCCTCCTGCACGCCGCCCGCGGTCCGCCCCCAGCTCTGGTCCCGGCGGCCGGCGGGACGCCCGCGCCCGCGCCCTCGCCCAGCCAGCCCGCGCCGCAGCCGGAGCCGGAGCCGAGCGGCGCATCCTGGCCGGGGAGAGGAGGACGACCAGATCTTCGAGGGGGACAAACTTGCAAAGCGCCGGGGAGGAAGAGGAGCAGACACGCGGCAAAAGGGGTGGTGGCGCCCGGCCCCGAAACTCGAAGGCCGAGCACGGCAGGCGGAGGTTGGCCCGGCCCCCACGGCCCCCGGCATGGCCCAGGGCTCGGCGCTCCCGCGGCAGGCTGCACTATGCTGCCCGGCCGTCTGGGTGGCCGCCGCTCTCCTGCTCACACTGCGCGGGACATCAGGTAGGACCCGGCGCGCCGCTCCGTTCGCGGGCGTGGGTTCGGGGCTCGCGCGGCCGCCCCTTCCTCTGCCACTTTGCTCCCGGCCGCCGCGCCGGCGCCCGTGCTTCCGAGCGAGGGGCGCCCGCAGGGCCCTCCGCACCGGCCCCGGCGCCAGCCTCGGCCCGGTGCCGCGGGCCGCCCGGGGCTGGTTCCAATAAGCCGCACTCTGGGGACGCCTAAGTGTTTCCAGAGGCCGGGGGCGCCGCCGGTGGGGAGGCTCTCACCCGGGCTTTCCGAGGGTCGCGAGTGAGCGAGTCTGCGGCAGAGGAAGGGGCGCCCGAGCTGTGCCCGCGGACGTGCTCCGGGGGTCTCAGGACTGGGACTCGGACTTACTCCACGAGGTTACTCCAACAGGGCACGGCTGCTGGTACCCCTGTCTGTCCCGGAGGTTTCCCCCGGGTTGGGCTGATGCCCTGCGGGAGCCTTGGTCGGACGAAGCCCCGGGAAGCAGCCCTCGTGGCGCCAGTGGGGTGGCCCGCAGACCCCAAGTCCTGACTGCACCCCCACCCCCGCCTCGGGGCCTGTTGATTGAGACCAGTGCTTTGGCCTCCCTTTTGTTAGCCCCACCACTTCCCCGTCTCAGGAGCCCCTAAACCTTCCCTCGCCCCCCACCGTCCTGAGGTGGCCGAAGCGGCGTTTCTGGTGAATTGAGATCAGGGGTCCCTGGTGGACCCTGGGCGGCAGAGGCGCGTCCAGTTTCCGTCCAGAGGCCGAGGGACCCCAGGACTTGTACAGGCGTGGGGCAGGAGGGGCGGGGCCTGGCTTTCGGGTGGCTTTTCCTCGAGGGACACCCACTGCCCCGGGAACGCTACTTGGGTTCGGCCGCCTAGATCCGGGGAGCGGAGAAACTGCAGGGAGCCTCAGAGGGGACGCTGGGGATACGTGCCAGGTTGCCGAGAGGAGGCGGCGCCCGCCCTGGCTGTGCCGCCCCAGGAGCACCTCAGGCCTGCGCGCTCTCGGTGGATTCCGGGCACCCTGCCGGCGCGGGGGTGGCGGCGGGGCTTCCAGGCACTGGGGCTGTAGGGACGGAGGGGGTTCGACTTAAGCCCCCAAAGCGGGAGTGAGACGCTTCCTACTTTGGGTTCAGTGCCCCTGCCCCCCTAACCCGCACTCTTGGGAGAGGATGAGAATTAGCGCACGTACGGGGCGGGGTGACGAATGGGGGACGCGGCTCCACCGAGCGCTCTGGCCTGACCCGCGCTAGTCAGAAAGGCTGAGCCGCCTTTCCTGGGGGGCGGTTTAGTTTGAACAGATGCTGATCACGTCAGGACGTTCTTACTAGTAGATTTGAAAAGACAGTTTGCATTTATATCTCTGTCGGTTAAAGCATAAACAGCGTAGGTTGCGCGATGAAATAGGTAAAGTACATTCCAAGTTAGTGTCCAGCACTAACATCCTCTCTCCCTTGCACCCTGTCCCAGGAATCCACCCTGTCCCAGGAATCCGCCCCCTCCCTCAGTCCCTTTGCCCGGGGAGCGGGTCCAACTCGCTGCCCCGACGTGTGGTGGCACAGCCTTTGCTGGTGGTCACCCTGCGGTAGATTCCCCTGCAAAAACAGTCTTGCGGGCCGCGTAGCTCGAGGGCAGCCTTGGGTGAGGGTGAGGGGGCGCTGCAGGGAGGGGTTTGAGGCCGGTGATGAGAAAGGTAGAGGCCCGGCGCTAGCGTGAAGGTTGTACCAAGAACAGGAACGTTATTTCCGTTTTGGGTGGAGTGTTTAAACATTGCCATCTTTTCCAGCCGAATGTAAGAAATGTGTGATGAACAAAGCAAAAAGGGATCATTTTCTTCAATTTTTAAATAATAATAATCGCTATCGTGGAGAGAATGGGATATAATTCTCTTCGTTTTGGACGGCTACGTTAATTGAAAAAGAATATGATAACATATTCAAAATATGAATAAAATTATGTAATTACAGGAGAGTTGGGTGTTTGGAATCTTTTCTCCTGTGAAGAGGAGTCCCTGTAATTTGAGTGGGTTTTGTACACGAAATAGTTCACTATGTAAAAACATCCGAAAGATTATTCTAAAAGGATTGATTCCACTCTGTTATAGAAAGACTGTTCCTTATGGGGACAGATATCTGGGTTGGGACTCTACCCCTACAACGCAGGGTAGGGGAGAGGGACCATTAAAGGGCCTCCCTCCCCCACTGTGACAGTGTAGTGTTTACTTGTGGGCCAGTCCCTGGAACAATGGTCATAATAAATAATGATAGTGATCCATCTAGAAGAAAATAAATGAAAACATATTGAATGAGAAGACTTTGTGGAAAAAGAAAAGTTTTTATGTGTATAATAAGGCAACATATTTTTCTTATTATGGCTGTGTACCAAGCAAAGAACTACACATTTGAAATTTTTCAGTATGTAATTATGAGATGGAGCTTAACCCTGGTGTCCACTTGGTAAAGAATGTCACCCTGAAGATCTGAACACCAGGGACCCTTCGTAACACTGGGGGGTTCTAGGGGCTCTGATAGGCCAGGCTGAACTTTTAATTAATGAAAGAAATCATCGTTAGAACATCATCAAGAATTCTGCTTAAGAGTTGTGTGCAAAAAGCAACATGAGTTAAAAAATTTGCATTTTCTAGGAGTAATTTATGGTGACAGTGGTCTGCAGATGTATGAGTGATGTGAAATGACATTTCTGTTTTTTATCATGAAAGGCTTTTTTTTATTGTTGATCCAAAGTGCAGCTCTAATTAGTGTTTGTATGTGCGTCTCTCTTACAGTATGGTTGGCAGTGAATCATTTGTTGCCCCTTAAACGTTTAGCCTGGATTTAACCTCTGAGACTTTTAAGTCTTGCAAAGTCTGAATTTTATACCACTCTTCTTTGCAAGATCTTTTTCTGAAGTTAGTGGAATAGAAATACAGGAGTGAGAACTGCTTGTCTGACAGGTAGGGAAGATTAATCCTCTTTAGAAAGGTTTCAGCTGGGAAACTGGCGCTGCTTTAAAAATGCATTCCATGGGAGGCCTGGATGGGAAAAATTGTCATTATCATTGAAATAGAGGGTTTAGGGATTAGGCTCCCTAATCTGCAGGACCTGGCTAGTCTGATGAAGTGCTGGAAATTTGTGTGCTTTTTGTCTTTTCCCCTTGAGAGCCCAAATTATGTCATTCCAAGTTGTATTGGCGGAAAGGAAAAGCATACTACTGTTATCCCCTGCTAAGTGTTAGCTCCACGCTTGAATCCATCATCTTTTAAAGGGTTTGTTGATGGTAGAGGCCTTTTGGTGTTTATCTGATCTATTTCCTGGGAACCTGGAGGGGAAACTGTGAGGATCTTCTCCCCTCCCCCTGCCCCATCTGCACCTGGTGGTATAGAGTGGCCTGCTGCTCAGTTTTGAGTTTACACTGCTGTGCCCCACTGAGGTTCCCTCAGGGCTGGCTCTTCCTTGCACCCACCCCTTGGCTGTGGCCCTTATAAAGAATGTTGTCTTGAGGGTATTTTGTTCTTTGGGAACCCTGCAGTGACCGCCAAGTGGACTCCAAGAATACCAAGCATGAAAGGTTTCAAAGCAAAGAAACCAGGGTGCCTTGCTTTGTAGAGGAAGCAGTGCTGGTTAGGTGTGGATTTTTATTGGTTGTGTCTCAGCTTTGTGGCAATAGTGGTTTCATGAAAAGACTGTTGGGCTGAAAGGACTAGTTTTGAAAACATTGCTTCTCGGTGACCCTTTGGGCTCTTTGGGTTTGCATTGTTCTGCCCTTACCACGGTTAGGAGTTCAGAGGGGAGTGTGAGCCTCTTGAGTCTTGAAGTAAAAATCCAGGCAACAAGAGGAGCTCTGGCCCATTAATTATGGCTGCAACTGGCTGGGGTTTTCTCCCAGCCACCTTTTTCTAGCATGTATTTATTTGGTTTCGTAGAGGAGCTTGCCAAGTTGGAAATGAGGGCGGGACAGCTTTGTCTGCATGTGCAGTTGTCATAAAATATGTCTGGGTATAATCTGTTTAAAATCATATTAACAAAGTGGCCAAGGAATTGTTAAACAGTGTTGGGAATTTTCACAAAGCTTTTCAAAAACAGGGAATTGTGTCGGTGTGGTTTGCATCATTTTGGGGATTTCTGGAAGTGTTTTAAGTCCTATCTCTGAAAGAACCAAAAAATCAAAAGCCAAAAGGAAGGAAATAATTACAGAAAAATTTAGCCTAATTCGATTAAGTAGCTAGTCCTCTAGAAAGGCTCAGTTTCAGGGGGAAGTGTGTATCTTTAATTGTCCCTGGAATGAGCCTCAGAGTCCTCTGTCACTGTGGAGATGTTATCAGGAGAAAGTGTGGCTGCTGCTTTGAATCCTCCTTGATGGGGCAGGGTTCTCTCGAGTCCCAAATGCTCACAGCCTAATGGTTTCCACACCCTCTTGGAGGGGTAGTTAACACAATGTGCAGCTAAATTACGGAAACATTTTGGCCTGAACTCATTGTTAGGCTGTGCTGTGAAATAAAGTAGCCACTAGCCACGTGCAAGCTATTTAAGTTAAATTAATTAAAATTAAAAGAAATTAAAGAATCAATTTCTCTACCTCACTGGCCTCGTTCCAGATACAAGTAGCCATTTATGGCTCTGCTGAAAATGTTTTTGAGATTATGGTAGGGATTGTGTTGAATCTGTAGCTGACTTTGAGAGGTATTAACATCTCAATGGTATTAAGTCTTCTAGTCCTTCAACCTGGAATGTCTTTGCATTTATTTAAATCTTCTTTAAGTTCTTTCAGTTTGTAGTTTTCAGTGCACAAGTCTTTCACCTCCTTGGTTAAATCTGTTCCTGGGTATTTTCTTTTTTTCCTGTGCTATTGGAATTAAAATTGTTTTCTGAATTTCCTTTTTGGATTGCTTATTGTTAGTGCATAGAAGTACAGTTGATTTTGGCATGTTTATTATTATTATTTTGCAGTTTTTGGCCGGGGCTGGGTTTGAACCTGCCACCTCTGGCATATGGGGCCGGTGCCCTACTCCTT